AAAAAAAAAAAAAAAAAAAAGACAACCAGATTTCACAAGTGTAAAATTAACTGTACTTAACATCCTTGCAATTTAAATTTACAATGGTACCATTTTTCACATGACAGAGGGCAGAGAGCTCCTTTTTTCAAGAGTGCCACTCACATGCAGTGATGTATATCAGTAAGTTATCACAATGCTCGAGAAGCTAGTTCAGTTGTAGAGCTTCGGCAAGCTAGTCGATACCTTCCATATTTTGAGCTCATTGTCTTTATCCTGAAAGTCCAGAAATGAGGCTTCACAGCTTTATCCACAACTGGCACTCAAGTGAAAAAAAAAGAATGATAAAAACACAAAAATCCAAGATGTGAAATATGGTTGTTTTGCCTTTTAAGAAAAGGCCTCCTGTATTTTCTCCCTATATCCATCCTGTTGTTACTTTTATTTCTATCTGCTACCAAACTTGCAGCAAATTAAAATGCCACTTATTTCTTGGAAAAAAATGGTTCGGATAAAACTTGAAATAGTTCCAAGTCTATTAGGATTAAGATAGTGCCCATGTTCAGAATTTCTCATGGGTATATTGCATAAGAAGTTTGTGCAAGTAGTACTGTGTACCAATCAGAAGTTTAAAATGTGAACTTAACTCTACAAACAAAGCCACCCACCTGATTGAATGAGTATTTTCATGGGACTGTAGTGGGATTTCCATCTATGGCTTAAGCAGGTCAGATCAGGACTGACTTGTCACACAGGCATTATTAGAGCCATATGCATGGTTTCAATCCTTGGGTTACGACATTAGATTGGGAACTCAGCTTTCATTTAGAATACTGTAAACCTAATCTGTGGACTATTTTGAAGTTGCTAGTGGGACAGAAATGAGTGCTCTCCTTAAAGATAATTAAAAGGAAGCAATATGAGTCACGATAACCAAAACATCAAGGGCTGTCAAAAAAACTCAGCATGCTAAATGCTGTCCAAATTAGCAACCTTTGCTTCAAGGCAGAGGCTTGTTAGCCAGACAGAGTAAGGAAACCAGAGGTAGAGAATTAGTGCTGGTTCAAGTGAGGTTAATTTACTTCATCTTACTCGTATCATTGATAGTCATTAGCAAAAAAGTTAAAACAATCCACAATCACACCAACTGTTAAGGCAATAAATTTAGAAAGCCACCTGAACTCCTTGCAAGGACATTTATTTAAATCTAGCATTAACATGAACATAAGCAGCAGACACTTGTCAGTTTCCATGTGCCAAGCTCCTTATATTGAACAGATAGACAGTCTATCTTAAGAGGCAAACTAACTCAGCTACATGCCGAGGCATTTAGATTAATAGCAAAGTTGCTAAACACTAAGTAATTCAAAGGATACATTGAAACCATATGGGTAAATTGTAATTTTTTATTGGAAAACAAATATACAACTTGGAATGGATTTGAGGCAAATTGTGCCATAAGCAGATTCTCTTGAAAATAAGTGGCTAAACAAAGTTTAAAAAGCATAGTAACCATAGGAGAAAGAAAAAAAAAAAAATGTTTTCTGGTACAAGACCAGCAGTACAAAAAAAATTGTGTACGAGTACCTGGATAATACACCCGTTTTGCAGTAGTGCAACTTTTAAAGTTTCATATTGTTGACTGTCAATAGTCCACACAGAGTTAAGACTCCACATTTCAACATGTTGAATACATGTTGTTCCTTCACTTGACCAACTCCACTTAACTTTAGATGTGCAGAAGGGCTTAAATATCCAGAGTAAGCCACATGCAACATTTGTTACTTAGATCAATTTTCCAAAAATCAGAACAATAACAGGAAGATAAAGGGAGAAGAAACATGAAGGAATGGAGTTCTAATTACTATACATGCATATTCTTTTGACAGTAAGGGAAAAAACCTTTTACAGATAAGTTACAAACAGAGAAAAGGCAAATAAACAATTTTGTACAAGAAATTTAACACATTCTGTACAATGTCTTCACTTCGCTGTCATCATTTGTACAAACTCTGCAAAGAAAAAAAAAAAAGCTGTATAAGTACTTTGCAATGTTAGGATCCTTAGGCAAAGATTTCTTAAAAAGTGACCACAAATTTGTGAATCTTTATTTTAGATCTGTGCCAGTAAAGGAACCTTGACACTACCACTGATCTCCCCAGTGCCACAGGTATAGCTCTATGGTCTACTCGGAAGAGTAAGTCCCGGAACATTTAAAAGACTAACTTGCTTCTCAGTCCAGGTAGTTTACACTGAACTGTATCCATGTCACAGCAGTTTTCCCACACATTTCTTCAGGTGACCTCTAAAAGGCAGAAAACCCCCACACCCAACTACCATAAGCTCAAAAGCCTGTTCTGTACAGAAGTATTTTAAAGTCAAATCAGATGGAATACGGATAAGTGCCAGTGGGGGCATCCTGGAGCACTGAAAGATATAGAATGCATGTTATTCTCACCAAGTTAGCCACTGGAGCAGCACAGGAAGGGGACCTACTCAAAAACAGCTGTTCTTTGAGTCTCAGAGTAGGGAAGGAGAAAGCATCTTCAAATTTCATGAGCTTTTTCTATTAGCCAGGTTTTAGACCTCCCCATTTCAGACCCCTGAAGGAGGGGTAGCTGTGTGTAAAGGAACAAATACTAGCACTCCAAACTGGTGCTTAGACTGGAAGTGTACACAAGAAATGTTGTTTAGTTATGACTTTAAAGACTTGCTCTGCAAGTAGAAACTTTCTACAGAAACCAGTCCAGTACCAACTGTATTACATCTGAAAAGTAACTGTTAGAATAGGTATTATTTGTGCTTCATTCTGTACATTCCAAATTCTTGAACAGGAGCACTAACTTATTTATGCTTTTACTGAAAGAAAGAGAAGAGAATTTTGGCTTATTTGCAGCAAGTGTATTATATCAAGTTAAATGGCATCTCAATCTAAAGCTTAAGGTTTAAGAATTTAAGCCAAACAATAATATACCAAGCTACAATGAATTGGGGTGGTATTTAAGATCAAGTGTTTTCACACTACCACCAAGAAGAGGCAGAAAAGGCATTTAGGATTCAATATGTGTGAATTAAAAAAGAAAAGGGACAGGAATTGAGGAAAGCAGCTGCTACTTAATTCAAGTGAAAAGGTGACAGGATAATACTATAAGTATGGTTTAAGCTGTATTTTTTTTTATTTAAAAAACCCCACCAAACAAGGGCCTGCTTCTTCTCTACACAAGATTACTAGACCTCACAGGTTGTAAGAATTGAATCTTTAGTTTAAAAAGAAAAAAGTTACTACCTGCTGGCATTCCCTTATTTATTCCCCTCCCAAAGTAAATAGCTTTTGTTAAAGCGCAGTTCAAATGCAATACAACATCAATCCTTTTGATTCAACTAGTGCGATACAGGCAAACAAGTAAGCTTGCCAAAATAAGCAAAGCTAAAGTCTTTAAAAAACAAACAAAGAAACCAAAACACCCCCCAAAACTACAACCTTAAAATGCCACTACAGGTCCACTACCACCATTTATTTTGCCCTAGAAGCACAAAAGCCTTGTTAAAAGTAGAGACAGCTATGATGGGAGCCTATGAGCTGGTAGCTTTTGAATACCACTCCCAAGCTATGCAATTTCATTAAGCTGATATTTTCAGAACATGTTTGGGATGGAAACTGACTCCCCCCCGCTCCCCCAAGAGAATTAATGTTTTTGCAGTAAAGCTTACCTTCATAGTTTACTTGACCATCACCATCAATATCTGCTTCCCTAATCATTTCATCAACTTCTTCATCTGTTAACTTCTCTCCAAGATTTGTCATCACATGGCGAAGTTCTGCAGCACTAATATATCCATTCCCATCCTAGAGTAACAAGTTAAAGAGGTGTTTAAGAAGAATTGTTTACTAGGCTGAGTGACCCTTATGTACAGCATCTGAGTATTTAGGGAAATATATTTTCTAAAAGGGAGTAGGAACAGCTTTGAATTGCTCTCCCAGAGCCACTATGTATTATGGACCATACCATGTATTTTTTGATCATATCAATCATGTTTGGACCAAGAAAGTAGTGAAGAGCCAAAACTGGGGAGGGAAGAATAGAAGAAGAAGATAGGAAAAAACTGGGTGGGGAAAAAAGTCTGTTTTGAATTTAAAGGCACCTTTAGAAATTAATGTTCTGCTACACTAAAAGTCAGCAAGACAAGATGAGGCTAGAAGATGTACTGTGGGGGGGGCAGCAAAGAAGAGAAGGTTAATATACATCTGTCTGTTCAGGTACAAACAAATGCTTATTGCAGGGGCAGGCAATTTTGGGCAGAGGGCCATTTGCTGAGTTTTGGCAAGCCATTGAGGGCCACATATTACATTTTAAGGGCCCTGGGGGCTGGACAGAATGGCCTGGCAGGTTGTATCTGGCCTGCAGGCCACATTTTGCCTGCCCCCTGGCTTATTGCAACATGACTTCAAATTTTGTTTTTGTTTTTAAAAAGGAGAAAAAATATCCTACTTGAGGACCTAAGTACAGCAACACCCCTCTCAGCTATCCTAGGTATTGGACTGCTATCATTTAGGTTAATGTCCAACCCTCAATTCACAACATAGATGGATGGTCCAAATGATACCACAACAGAAGTTCCAGATAACTAGCAACTAAAAATAGTTTCCACTAGACTAAATATGCCACACAGTGAGAGTCTAGTCAGCCCCTCAAGCCGTGTACAACATTTTACCTTATCAAACACACGGAATGCTTCTCTAATTTCTTCTTCACTGTCTGTATCTTTCATTTTTCTTGCCATCATTGTGAGAAACTCTGGAAAGTCAATGGTGCCATTGCCTATGAGAAAGTGGGATAGTTAAGTCACTGAAAATAAACTTGTTTTTAACCAATCAACTGCTACATAGAAACCTTACCATCAGCATCTACTTCATTGATCATATCCTGCAATTCCGCTTCTGTTGGGTTTTGACCAAGTGACCTCATCACTGTTCCCAACTCCTTTGTTGTTATAGTACCATCACCATCCTTGTCAAATAGTGAAAAAGCTTCTTTGAATTCTGTTTGACAAAGGGAAAAAAAAAAACCAAAGTGTTACTTCAACAACTATGAACTTAAGTTTGAATCATAAAAGTTCAAAAGAAAAAACAACAGCTTAAAAAAAGTTAAAAACAGCTATGAATTCTTGTTTTGTTAGGCAAGTTATTGGTTGCCTGGTGTAAAACAAGTACTAAAACACTTGCCCTGGAGCCCTATTCTTTGGTGGAAAGCAGTCTAGAAGACATGGATGTGGACAAAGGGGGTGGAAGGGGAGGTGTCAGTCAGCCTGATTTGCCAAATGTTTGTATGAAGGTTAGAAGTAGATCATAAAATATAAGAATTTTACATTGCAATTTTCATCTGGAACTGAAGTCTTGAAATATATGAATGGCAAGTATTCATCTCATGAGGATATAATATTCCAAGTACAATAAAAGCAAACTCAAAGTTGTGGTAAGAGTAGATAAAACACCTTCCAGTGCTCAAGATAAGTCACAAAATAAATATGGTAAAAAAAGTCCAAAAGTATTTTTCTATGAAGTCTTGTCCTCAGTTTTCCAGGTTTTGTTTTGTTTTTTTTAAACCATGTAGTATTAAGGGGCATTATGCAGAGCATGTCTACGTGAGATGCTTCAAGCACACCAGACATTCTACTGCACATTAGTGCAGCAGGCAAAACCAGTGCTAATGCACAGTAGAATTAAGTCTACTGAATATTAGTGTAAAAAATAAAAACAAAAAAGCACCAATGCTAGCATGCAGTAGCACCAACTATAGTGCATTGTTATTACAGGTACTAAAAGCTTAGTAAGCCATAATTATGGTGCATTAATGAACATGTACACAATGCCCACTGTAGCTTAACCTAGTCTAGTTCTCCATCTGCTGATCAAGCAATTAGTAACATACTTGAAAGGCCAAAAAGTCCCACTTACAAAGGTTTTAAAAACAGACATGTAGCTCATTATTATAGTGATATGTCCAAGTAAACATTAAAATACTGTTTAGCTGTGTATCACACTTAAATTCTCAAAAGCACCAAGATAAATCCACTAGGTATGATCAAAAACTCATAAGAATTGAAGTGTTTAATGTTTAGAACAATCTTAGCAGGAAGAGTTTCCAAATAGAAGAGTGGGGTGTATGGAACTGAGGCTTTATTAGCAGTCTCTTCCTATGCTGCTCTGACTCTGTAGTTATCATCTAGTAAGCCCAGGTGGGTTTGAAGGGGCTGATTCAAGGAGGTTAGCCAAGCCTCCCCACAAATAGCCTTGTGGCTCCTGGCAGCCCTGTCTTGTTCTCACAACAATCCCTTGAGAACAGTAATAAGCAGAGGTAGCTATCTATCCCTGCTGCAGGACTTGTGCTAGTGTGGCTATGTGGCTCTGTTCTGGGGCTGGCATGTATTACTGTGCTATGCATGGCAAGAAAATCATGAGGCAGGCCAAATTTGGGACTAAACCTGGAGAATCTGCTCTAGATCTAAAAACCCAAAATACATTTCTAAATCATGGTAAAGCCATGCTGAACCAACACCCCTGAAACTAGAGGGACAAGAATTCTGGTGGGTGACATCTTTCACAGTATCTGCCTCAGGCCTCATCTCCTGAGGAATAGGAAGATACCAAACAAACAAACAGCTTGCCTAGATCCATCCTAGCAGTACCAGTTAAGAGAGTCACCCATAAGAATTTACCCTTTTCATGCATCCCCCAGATTGCAATGGCAACATCACCTCAACCCTTCCAGAAGGAAAGGGAATCTTGATGATAGCCTTTTTCTACATTTAAAGTAAAGAAAAAGAAACAAAAAACACCTCAGGAATTACTGACACTTGGCAAAACTGTGGGATAGTTTATATTCAGCTTCCACATATTCAGTTCTTACTTTTCGTTACAATTAGCAATGGAGCAATCCATCAGAATTGAATAATACAACCATGACCATTTCTAGACAATTCTGGGTAATCTTCATTTTGGTGAGTGGGCTATCCAAGGTAAAACACTGACCAGTCAAAGCTGTGGCAAGAATCAATTTGGAGAGACTGGAGTTTTGCTGCTACCTCAAACCAAAATGTAAGGTGCAATACCTTCAAGTACTGCCACAAAATAAATAGGCAAGTTCTTATAATATCCCTTTATAAAAGTACATACAACCCATTTAGTTATATTCCAAAAATGCTTGCCTTTGGCAAGAGGCAAGTGATCTAAACTCATAATTTAGGCTGATTTTAATGAATAATTCCCAATTTTGAAGCTTGGCAACCAAATTTAGAGAATTTCGCTAATTAAGCATAATTGCATGATTAATTTATGAGAGTCCATTACCTCTTGCTGCATGTCTGAAAGCAAACTTTTCAGCAACTAATTGTTTCTCCAAAATTAGTAAAATCAGCTAGCACTGAAGCCTATGAATGGTTAGGAAAACAAACAGCTTTCAAGAGGTAGATTTTCTCAGAATCAACTATCATCCAAACCCAAGTCAGGTGTAGTCATGACAAGATGCTATTCTCCATCCAAGTCCATTAAAGTCTTATTTTGCATGCTGAATAAGAGGCAACATAATACTTACGTTAACATCTGCATCAAGTGCAAAGTAGTAAAGTACATTTAAAATGCAAGTTTAAGTTTAAAGCATCAACAGAAAGTTGCAAGGAGCATAGTCCTTCCCCTATCAAAAACTACCTCTACTGCATCGCTAGTCAAACTTTTTCTATAATGATATAGAAGAGCCCAAATGTGTAAAGGTGAATTCTACTCTAGTAACAACTTTTGAAGTATCACACAAATGCAAGATTATTCTTAAGCCAAGGAGTAAACACCACCATCTTCCCTAGATCTTGTACCAGCACAAGCTGTGCAAGTAGCCTCAGGTGAAAGAATACACCTCAGAAAGACCAGTCCAAGGGTGTCTAAAAGGCAGTCAACTACAGCTGAAACCACAAAGGAAAACCTTGACACCTCTGGTAGAAGAGAACACGTTCTTGGTGACCACAGCTACACAACTCCACAACTGCTTTGGCAAGCCAACTTGATGCAAACTGGAGTTTTCATTTGCCATTTTTAAAATTTATTGATTTCAATTTGTTACCATTATATCCAAGTTAAAAGTTCAGTTAACTGATCCAAAGCACCATGGCAACTAGACCGAGACCCATCTTCAATTCACACAGGGCAGAGACCATAAAAATCTTTTGGTAATCCAGGAAAAAAGTCCTCAGAACTACTTTTGAGAGATTGTTCCAAAATGTAAGAGTTCCCTGAAAGTGGATTAAGTTTGCTGGTTTGCAATGATCCATGACAACTGCAAGATACAAGCAGACTTTATGAACAACTATGTTGTCCAGAAGACCAGGTCTGTTGCATCCAGCCTTGAAATCCTGCAAAGCAAGGTTTGATTTTTCAGTGTTTCCTCAAGTTATTTTGCTGCCACTTTTCAATAACCTCCAGTGGGAGTAGACAACTGAGATTAGAAGCAGATGCATTTAGTTGTCAGGCCTTTGCTCAAGAGACTGTTCTAAAGGATCACCTGGAGACATACTACCAGCTTAATGCCATATTGGAAGAATTCACTAGAAGGACACTGCCTAAACTGCAGGAGCCAAAAAGAATGGTTCTTCTTCACAGGCAGTAAGCCTGTCATTTCTAAAAGTTAAAAAAGCAGAAAGTGGTCTACTATTTTTATTGTTCTGATCCCATTCTCCCCCAGAACAAAAAAAGCCATCTTCAAGTCTCTAAAAATTTTATGTTGGTCTACTCCCCAGATCAGATTTCTCAAATAATACTTCGTCTTTCAGTACTCTCAGCTTCAACTGTAATCCTAAAAATCAAAAGATCAAACATTATCTTGAGTCTTTTCATGTGCAACACTGCAGTTACAGCAAGTGAAGGCCACATGGATTCCCTAAGCAATTACCAAGTCAAAAGATTCCAACATGGACTTCAGATGTTTTCCTGAAGCAAGTAACCACTAGTTTCTGTACAATTATGATGAATTCCAAAATACTGTCATGCATTCAAGGAACTCAGACTGATCCTTGCCACTACCTCTTCAACCTTCTTTCACCAAGGTGTCACAAGGACATACATGGGTAAATCACAGGAGATCAAGTTCAAGACAAGTGTCAGTCAACTGGCCTTCTGCACAGTAATCCTCCAATGGCCAGCAATAAAAATGTTAGATTTAAAGTTGCTTTTTTTTTTTTTTTTTTTTAAGGTCTTAAGCTCCTTGTAAGAGTCTAGTTGTCATGGCAGCCAAAGACTATGAGGTATACATACTAAATTCCAGATATACTCTTTAAGACGACTGTCAGAATTCCAACAGCTCTAGCAGCAGCCAATGCTAGTTTTATGCCCATCCTGTGAATTTAGGGATAAATCCATTTTCAGGCAAGTAGCCTCTACTTGAGTCAGGCAGTCAATTGCCTCTTGCCATTTCTCCTTCAAATCATGCTGAACCCCAAGCTCAGCTGAGGAAAAATATAGGACAAACAAAACACCCCAAAACAAAACTTATCATTCCCTGGTCTCATCCAGGTTCAAATCATGGAGTCAGTCATCAAGTCAGGATCAATTCCAGGGGAAGGGGGAGAGGGGGCAACTTAATTAAATCACTGGCTTTACTTGAAGTATCTCAGTATAAAAGTTCAGTCCCTCTGGTAAATTGATGAAAACAGGCAAGTTGATGAAAGCAGGTTTGAAGAATGCAAGAGGCATTTGGATTTTCACATCTGGCTTCCCAATCAGATTTGCTTAGCAGCTATCAATTTTGCAACTTCAAGTAGATTTTCATTTTCCACATCACCTAAAGGAGGTTCTCCTATAAAAAGAAGGCATCAGTTCTGATGAACTGTAAGACAAAACAGAATTCAGTAGATTCCTTGCATTGGCTCTGAAATGCTAGAAAAAAAAGTCAACATTTGTTGAACAAGCCATCATATTAAGTCAGATCTTTCTTACTAGTAATGGACACAAAATACCGCCAGCCAAATACATACTTCCTAAGGGCAATTTTCCTACCAGACCCTACCATTATTCACTTCAGGAGTTCCAGGATATTGAAAGAGGGCATGCCCTGGCACTTGCTAACTCTGTAGCATAAACCAAGACTATCAGATAAGTGTTTCTTGAAGCTTTTCTTCCTCAATCTCTACAAATTTTAGACAGCCATTTCTCCCATCTTTCACTTATGCAAGAACTGTATTGGTGTCCAGAGGATTTTCAGTGGCTCTTCTTCTACATGAAGCGTACATCAGTCCCACATGAAAGACCAAGTTTCTCATGTCAAGTATATCCATGAGGAAGTGTTCTAATGTGATGGGGGTCAACAGTCCTGGCAGGCATGCCCAAAATGAGCCCCAGTCTCCAATCACCACTAATCCCCTTCCTCTGGGCCAATCTGCTGTGCTGCTTCCTGCTAGGTCTGCCACCACACTGCTAGTCCTGTCCTGAATCTGCTGCATGCTACACAAAGGCAGCCCCTGCCACTTGTGGCATTCATGCTGCAGGTTGGCTACCTCAGCTGTAGTGCCCTGAACGTAGTATTCAAAACACTATGACAGGTGTCAAAGTGTTAAATGCACAAACTGAAAAAAATCTAGCTACTGAGACTATCAAAGTTGGCCCATTTGAATCAACTAAGCATTATTTGAAGGATCTCACCAGATTTGATAAGTCCCAGATCTGAAAAGATCTCAAGAGCCTTATTTATTTTTTAGTAAGGCTATCAACATGCATCTTGGGCCTAAAATAAGGTCAGATATTGAACTTCTTGCATATACTTAGGTCCACAGTACTGAAGCAACCCAAGCCTTAAAGAGATGAATACTTAAGTATAAAATTAAAAAGGTAATTAATATATCAAATGGGACTGAAGTCTGTTCTGGCAAAAAAAGCCAAACAAAAAGAAATACAACTTGACAGCTTTTCTTTAGCTTAGACCTTGAAGCATCCAAATATGAAAACCCAACAGCATGTTTATTTTATTGCTGTAAAAAACTGTTCTACAAGGTCAGGACAAGTCCAAAAAAACCCCAACTTTAGAAATAAAAGAATAAATTCACCTCTCAGCCAAAGTTACATACAAGGCTCTCTAGCAATTCTTCAAATTGAAAAACGTTCTTAAAAAACAAACAAACAGTCTTCTCTCTAAAGCAGTGGTCTCCAAACTTTTTTGATTGCACACCCCTATCAGTAAAAAAAATTGAGCACCCCCCCAATATATGTATATTTATTTATAAATTATAAAAAAAAAAAAACACACATGACTGTCTGACATACAGACCAAGTGAGGGTGCCAGTGTCAATCCATACATTAAATATTAGTAAAGCTTAATTTCTCTCTTTTTTTTTAAGATAAAAATAAAGAGGAGTTTGAATATTTTCTTCCCATACCCCAATGGATCATCTTGTGCACCCCCTGGGGTGGGTTCACCCCACCTTGGAGACCACTGCTCTAAAGGACACCCCCAAAAGGTGTCAGATATACTGCACAAGACAGTTGCAGGCATAACATTCATTTCCTTTAACTGTGAGTTTGATGCTTGAAGAGCAATAATATACAAGTATCAGCCACCATCATTTATTATTCTGGTAACACACAAAAAACAAATAAGAGTGTACCATTTTATACGAGTCACAACCTGGCCATCTCAAAAATAGTCTTTATTTCACTTACTTCTAGACAGGATTCCTTACAGTAATCATTAGTTTAATAGCATGACTCAGTCAAAAAAAAATGCACTACAACACCCCCCCCCCAACATTAACTAGTTAAATTGCAACTCAAGATTCAAGTTCTGCATTGCCAACAAGACGTTATACCAAAGACAGCCAAAAAACAAAGAGTTCTGGTATGTCTTCTGCAAGAGCCAAATCAGATTCAAGTAACCTTTCTTGGACTGACAAATAAAGAGGTAACTGAAGTCTGTTACACCATCATACTATTAGTAAGCAGATTTCTCAGTTTGGTCACTTGAACTAAATGCCTTGTGTACTTTTTGCAAGCTCACCGAGCTGTATATACATTGTAAAGTCTTTAGAAGAAAGGCCATCTCACTCTGCCACAAGTCTACTTTGAAGAGATTTAGAGCAATTTAGCAATACCTCTCACCAATCTGAGGCTGTGATATCAATACACAAAACAAATTAGGATGGTAACCTCTCTACCCCTGTCTGTTTGTATTAATACTGGAATTATTATAAGCAGCTTGTATGCAATGTTATTTTAGTGAAAAACCAAGCTTCAGGTTCTGCTTCACATACTTAAGAGATGACTTTTCTATTTATACTAAATAAAAGATTTAAGTTACTCAGTTGCTAAAATGATCTATCATATTTGTGTTTGATATTAAGATCAATGACACTGCCAATACAATGTTTACCTGCATAGATGCAACCTTACCTGCAATCTGCTCTTCTGTCAGTTGATCAGCCTGCAATATAAAGAAAACAGTATTACCATTCAGCAAGACGTTAGGGAATGAATTAAAATTTATGCCTCAATTGCTTCTGCAGGTATTTCAAGGTAGTTTCTCTTTGGTGCTTACTTTGGATTCCCTACTTAATCCCAAAGATAGGTTACCAAATTTTAAAAAGGCATCTTCTTTGCTAGGAAGTTACAACACATACATACCTCAATTAAGAGAGCTTGCTACCAATAGTTTCCTGAGCTGATCTAGGTCATCTAATACTTAGCCAAGTTAAAATATCAAGCAGTTATCAAGAACCTACATCCAACTACATTCCCCTGAGCTTCAGTTCCCTTAACCTGGTGTTAAAAAGCAAACATATGAGTACAACTAAAGTAACAAGTCCTTACCTACATGCAGCATCTTTAATCTGTCCTGTGTTCTCCTGCAAGTTTCAGATTCAAACTAAAGCCTATTTTGAAGGGAAACCCAAGCAGTAAAATGGCCCCATACACAGCTGCTTTATTTTATGTATTGCGTGACCTTAAATTTCAGGCATGATTTAACACAGTGGTTTTCAACCTGTGGTCCATGGACTCCTTGGGGTCCACAGACTATGTGTAAGGGATCCAGAAAGATGACAATGGTCAAAAGTATGTGGACACCCACACTTACAATTTAAAGGGGTCCACAAATGAAGAGGTTGAAAACTACTGATCTAAAACCCAACATAACACTGCCAACAATAGTCAGTATAGAAAACTGATCAAGAAAAGTGTGTTTAAAATGTAATACCATTCAAGTTTTTGGCTGACTATATATAGCAGCTGAAGTTCAGTAGCTAAATGCAACTGAAGTTTGTTTCAAAGATACAAATACATATTCATTGGCACTTTAAAGCCACAAACCAAGACAGCCACCCTGTACTTAAAAAAAAAAAAGAAAAAAAAAAGAAAAAAAGTGCAGGAATTTCTGAAAGACCTCCCTCAATTTTCAAGCTCGGGTCACCTTCAAACAAACTTCAGCTGCTCGGCTCTTGCAAAAAACCAAACAAAAAAAGCCAACCAAACAAACTTCATTAAAATTCAACTGACAGAAAACAAACCTGAAAGATTGTACAGAAGCCTTAAGAAAGAGCCCATTGCATGGACAGCTAGAATCAATACCTAGAAGCAACTGCTTTTCTATCCCCTTATTAGTAAAGCAACTGATTATAATGTGGATCAGTAAAACTGAACTGTCTTGACAGAAAGGACTACATACAGCTTCATCTTGCTGACCAAGTTGTCTGACTTTTTTGGTTTCTTAAAAACCAAAAATTCATTTTGCTCCTGCACAGAAGTCTGTTTAGGCAAGAATAAGATTCACTTCATCTAATGTGGAAAAGGGAATAAAAGGGTTGTTTGTGTGTTTTGTCTTTTTTAAAAAGAGGGACAATTCTATACAAGAACTACATATTGCATTAAAGTTAATAACTTACTTGGCACTTCAGAAAGCTGGGTTTACATAGATACAGAAGGGGAATCTACCTACAAATGTGAATACAAGTTCAGTATCTGAAACAAAAGCTAAAACAGCTGCTGGTTGCAGGCAACTGAAAGATAAATGCAACACTGTATGGACTTGGGATTAAGCACACACTAGTCCAGAATTTACTGCAAACAGTTGCAGAATAGGCCAGGCAGTATTCACTGGTAAAATAGCAGGGATGCTGCTTTGCTACCCATCCCAGCTAACAGTGGTTAAGCTCTTCCTAGCATGCTAGCCAGTTTGGTCAGATTCAGTCATACAATGCTACAAAGCTTTTTTTTAAGTTTTGACATTTGAGTGTAGTGCCAGTTAGTTGAGATCAGATATTTGTTTGCCTGGGGAGTATCACCTAGCACAGAGCAGTGCCAAACAAATCCTATCCTCCTAGCTACTGCCCCAGCAGTTCAAGTGGAATAAAAACAGAAGCATTCCATCTGCACAGAATGATTTATAACCTAGAGCTTTCAGTGTTTAAACTTGCTCATTTAAACCTACAGGTAAGTCACTTAAAAAAAAAAAGTCCTACTTACTGTTATGGAGGTCATACATTTGTTAAATTTAATAAAATCTCCAAGTTAATCAATCAGTCTGTTTAAAAAAACAAAACAAGAAAACCCCTTCCCTTCTGACAATCCATAGCACATCAATAGATCAGTATCCAGGTATTTTATCCTATTTGCTAGTACTGAGGGCCATGCCATGGGCACAGGGTTTGGAATCAGCTAGGCTACTGAAGCTTCAGATGCATGACAATGAGATAAATAATGCAGTGGAATTGTACTGGAGGTGGGGCAGGACTGAACAAACACCATCTGTACCCTGCAGAGCAGGGCTCTGCAGGGACTGCTGCGCAACAGCAATGGAGGGCGGGGTCAGCAAAACTGCTGGCAAGTGGCTTCACCAGTCACTTCCACCTGATACAGTTGAAAGGCATACAGCAGATGTTACTTCAACCCTGAAGCTCAAATAGCAGCTACAAAAGGCTACATTTCTTTAATGGCCTTAAGAAAAGCCCTCCTCTCAGCATTTGATCTGGTTGCTCATGTGTACCCTGATGTCAGGATGCAGACTTTTGATAATGCACAACTTTCAGAAACATCTGCTTAGATCTTCCAGAACAGCCAATCATCTGTCAGTTTTGTAGCTATTTGACTTGCTGGTAACCAGCTTTATGATGTTCTGATACA